ACGTTATTTATGACCAGTTTTTAATGTAGGTTACTGGTTTTTTTAGACATTGAATTTCCTGTTCTTTGATATCCTTGTATCTTAGATTTAACTAGATACGCTTAACATTTTTGTGATTTTTAGCATCTCCCCCTGCTTCTTATCTGCCTTTCTCAGTTATTTACACTTCCTCTGGAAGCATGCTTGCACTGCCCGGCACAGCTATAAATCAATTTTTTTAGAATTAGTACTTTACAAACTTCACTGGTTACACCTTGTGTTTTCTGGCATCTGCAGAAATTCAGCACTGAATTTAGCAAAAGAGCTTGATCAGGTTTTTTTCATTTTTATTTTTATTCTGTGCAAAAAGGAATTTTCTTTTATTCCAGTGCAATGGAAGGGGAAGGGGAAATAATTGGGCTTGTATCTCTGTTTGAGACTGGAATATAGGCCATGGGAAGATATTCTGTGTAGTGACAGGTTTGTCTCCCTTCTTAATGGAGTCATTGTGTGAAGATTAGTGTGACTTGTACTTTTCCTCAAATTGCTTCTTTGGAACATTGCAGTGAGCAAGGAAGTAAATAAAGAGGGAAAAGGGAATAAAGAGGGGAAAGGGAATAAATAGGGGAAATGAGATAAAGAGGGGAGAGGAGATAAAGAGGGGAAGGGAAATAAAGAGGGGAGGGAAATAAAGAGGGGAAAGGAAAAGAATAGGGAAAGGAGATAAAGAGGAGAAAGGAGATAAAGAGGGGAAAGGAAAGAAAGAGGGAAAGGAAATAAATAGGGGAAGGAAATAAAGAGAGGAAAGAAGATAAAGAGGTGAAGGGAATAAAAAGGGCAAAGGAAATAAAGAGAGGAGAGGAGAGGAAATAAAGAGGGGGAAAGAAATAAAGAAGGGAAATTGAATAGCAGAAAGGAAATAGATAGCAAAAAGGAAATAGATAGTAAAAGGTGAGTAAACAGCAACAAGAAAATAAACAGCAACAAGCAAGTAAACAGTAAAATCCTCTGTGCACCGAGAGTCAGCTGTGCAAATTTCGAGCTAAACGCCTGTCCCCAGCAGCTCCCGCTGTCCAGGCTTCCCCTGTTCCCAGTTGCAGCTGCAGAAATGCCTTTTCCCACCTTGGCAAATCCACGTTTGCCCCCCCGGGCTCTCTCCGGCCGCCCGCACCTCCCTCATCCCGCGCTGGCTCCGCACACTCCGGGCTGGGAGCGGAGCGGGAGCATCGTCTGCGAGGCTGTGGCGGCGGCAGGTTCACATGACTAATGCTGGGAAAGATAGCAGGAGCTTCTTTTTTTTTTTTTTTTTTTTTTTTTTTTTTTTTTTTTTTTTTTTTTTTTGAGGAGCTCCAGTCTGTGCACAGTTGGCTCCCAGCTGACAGACAGAATGTGGGGTGGGCTTTGTCACCAGAACGCTGGGTACTGCATGCCCAGCTATGCTCGCAATTCCACGGTGCCCAGAAACCTGCTGCTTATGTCAGAGTGCAGCCAGCCTGAACACATAGAAATTGGGTAGCTTGAATCATTTTTATTTTTATTATTATTTTCTTGGGGTTGTTTTTTTTTTTTGCCTCTTTCTTCCCAGCAAAGGTTATGTAATGAGGGGATTGCTGCTAAAGTAAAAAGGGAAAATGAAGTCTTTGTTAAATGCCTTCACAAAGAAAGAAGGTAAGCGATGAAAGCAGAACACTTTGATGTTTCAGACTGGTGTTTTCTTGTGTACATTGAATATGATGGGTTTAGTGACTATAATTAATCAATTCCTGCAATTTCTTTTGCAAAATCATTTGATGTTAGATGGTCCACTAAGGCAAGTGGTTATTAAAGCTGGATGTGACTTTATTCCTTTTAGGATTTTCTCTGAAGAATCAAGTAGTTATAGAAATGTTTTTGTTCCCTAAGAAATACATTTGGAGACACGTTAAGGATTTTCCAGGGTGAATTTTGTCAGTAAATGGTGCTGAATTGCCCCTTCAGATGTATGAAGTACCAGGAATAGAATTGGGAGAGCTGGAGAGAGGATTGTATGGTACTTTCAAGTATGCTTTTAGGGATGATAAATTTAAACTTTAGGAGCATGTAATTAGTTCAGGCATTTTCATTTCATTTTATATCAACTGTTTTTCCCAGACAAGTTTTGTAACAGTTAGACTTACAGTTCTGAATGTGGGAAATATTAGGGAAAATCACTGTCCAACTGGGATTAAAGCGTGGACATTTGCATTTCATCATATTGTGTTGTAGTTATTTTAATTTTATTATTGTGAAATTAATATAAATAATGCCGATAAGAAGAAGCTAAAAAAATATCCACCCACTTACAGTTTGCAGATTGCTGGGGAAAAGAAACAGTTGGGTGGAATATTAATCACTTCAGGCTCCGAAATGCTTATTTTTAACTCTTTCTATAAAAGATTTGTGTTAGACAAGCGTCAATTGGTGTAATTAGTTGTCCCCTTTCCTGATTATTTTCTATAGTAAAGGCTAATTTTGGTCGTAGTTCCCTCCTTAAGAACAGAGCATTAATAGCAAAGCAAAAGCTAAACTCTTAAATGAGCATGTAAAATCCTTCTAAGGCACATAAGGAAAAAAGAAGACAAGGGTACCTGGAGAGTGGTTTCTCAGTTCTGTTGGTATAAATGTGCTCAGCAGCTCTCTGTCCATCTTGTCACCCTGGCCCTCGTGCTCTCTCCCCTCCCACCAGGAGATATCCCACCAACCTCTCCAGAGTCCCAGTAAACATATCCAAACCATTGGCAAAATTTAGTTTTATCTATCTGTGGTTGGAAGGCTGGGCAGGCTGCTTGGATAGTCACCTGTTTAGGTTCATGGAAAATTAGAATCTAAAGGTCAGACTCAATTTTTGCTGAATCCAAGGCAAACTTTGGCGACCCTGAGACAGCAGGATTAGACCTTCAGGTGGCAAATGTGCCAAACATTCCCTATATTCAGTTTTGTGTGCTTTCTCCTTGACTGGATTTTGCTCTATTGTACCTGGGAAGGATCCTTATCTTCAATGAAGTAATTTCTAGAGTCAGATTCCAAGTGCCAAAAATATAGGAGTGCAGAAATGTCACATCTCTGTCCCCTACATCGACCTAAGGATCTGTATATGCCAATTTGGGAACTAAATGCTTAGAGTTTTCTTTAAGTTGGCACTAACCAGGGCTTTTACTGTGACATCTAAAGCACCCGGGTGCTCTCAGTGACATACTCAACTGCTTTGAAACCTTAAAAAAATATGAAATGTGAAACACTTGAAATGCCATGAAAATTATACAGAGTTTCTACCACTTTCCAGCATAAATATTGTATTTCTCTGCTTTATCCCCTTTAACAACTTTTAAAGAATGCTTCCCTCATTTCAGCCTTGTCTCAAAGGAAATATGGAATTTAAGCCCTTTCTCTCTGCTCACACTGTTCTCTTGTTTGGTTGTTCTGATGTTGAGTTGTTTACTAGAGAAAGTTTCATCTCATTAGAAATACAAAGGATGCTGTTTTAAAATATTCAGAATTGTAGTTAATCATAAACTGATTCTGGTGAAAATTATATAAACCGTTCTTCTCCTTGCAGTTCCATCTCTATTTTATGCTATGAGTACACTCTCAGTTTTGCTCTGAAACCTTAAATTTTGCTTTGTTCTCTCAATTAAAGGCTCTATTTCAAGACAGGACAGATTGATTCCTATGTATATTCATATTTATGTGAATTTATTTACTTGCACAGTATGACAGACATTCTTATTCTGTTTTTTCTGTGGTTTTGAAGGATATTGAATGAGTAGACATTTCTGGTACTTCATAAATTGCACTTACTGGCACTTTAGACATGTAGGATGATATTTTGTGGGGCTTCTTTACCAATTTAAATATGATTTTTTTTGAGAATTACAGCACCTCAATGAAGTCCTCAGAATAATGCCTGGCTGCCTTTTGTTAGTTTTACTATTGTGACTTTTCAGATGTAAATATGTGCACTCTGACTCAACTCCTGTGACCCCACAAGCTCCACTGAAATAAATTAATGAGGGTGGTTGCAACAGTGGGAAGCAAGTCAAGAACGAGTTTTTGTGGTCAAATTCTCTATTACCTTTTGATAGGACAGGAAATATCACATCTAGTGATGTCTGGGTGTCTTTTTATGAGGAAATGTACCTTTTAAGTTGCACTCGGAACAAACTACTACAGGGAGAAAAGGTGATCTGGAAAGCATTATCTGCTTGTGCAAGTGTACCGGGAGCACTGATGAGGGGATGGACCCTCTGCTCTGTGTCAGATTTTTACTGCCCTTACCTTGTTTGCTGTTGTGACTATTTCATTAATAAGTATTTTGCAGCCTTTGGATAGAGTCATGTTCCCTTTGGGACACTGCATGTGACAGTGAGTGTATTCCCCTGGGGTAATATGTTCTATATACAATAGTAATTGATGTGGTAGAAGTGCCTAGATTAGAAATAGGGGAATACCTGGGGATTACAGCAGTGTAATAGAGTTCTACCAGGAGAAGAAGCCATGTCCTCAATTTTTAACCTGGAAGATAGGGATAAGGTGATTATTAACGCTACAGATTTCAGGTTAGACCTGAACTTGTGAGGGACCAGTTTGGGTACCAGCTGGGGGAAGGAAGGTGCAAGTTCATAACTCAGAAATTCTACTGGTCAACCCTGTTCTGTGCCTTCCTAATAGAACGTGACAACACAGCATGAAAATGAAATTTCTGAACGTCCAACTTGGCAATAATGAGGTGAATCCCATTTCCTAGACCATAGTTCAGGCTATTCAGCTTACTCCTGACACTGGTGTTGCTCAACTATTCATCCAAGCCAGTAAACAGGTTCATGTTGCTCTGTTGTTTTCAATTTTACGAGGATAATGAGTTCGATCAGCTCTGCTGGCAAGGTAGAGTTTCTGTCTCTGCAGAAGAAACAATGCCATATGTTGCTGAATTATATTATGTGGTGGTAAACACATATGAGTGGTGAAATCATCTGAGATTACCCTGAATGCCTTTCTTCACACAGTGCCCTTTAGGGAGGCTCCCACCTATTCCAGCAGAAGGCGGAGACCTCCGAACACCTTGGCAGCCCCTCGGATCTTGCTCCGCTCCAACAGCGATAACAACCTGAACATCAACAACCTCCCTGAGTGGTCAGCATCCTCCTCTGCCTCTTCACACCGCAGCCTTTCACCTCATCTGCTTCAACAGATGCAGAATAATCCCAATGGAACTGTAAAAACCGTGGGGAGTTACACTCCGTCCTCCCGGAGCCGGTCACCATCCCTGAACAGGCTGGGAGACGATGCCAAGCGGCAGCAGCACAGGCACATCAGGTGACTTTTTGACTACTTGAGATATTCCTTAAGTCATTGTGCTGCATTGCCACATGTTTTATGTTATTTATATGCCCACTTTGCACTCTATATAATGTATAGGTATTAAATCTCAACACAGTGGACCACGTCCAAGTGTGAATATTTTAATTGGAAGCACCAGTCAAATCCAGTTGTTTCCTCACAGGGCTCCAGCAGCCAGGCAGGCGTTACAGTTCAGCAGAGCTCAGCAGTGACTTAACACAGGGTTCGCACCTCCAAATCAGTGTGCTAAGCTCTCAAGATCTTCTAATTGTTGAAATAAGGATTGGATTTAACAGCAAAGTAAAATGTTTCTGGGATATTGGTCATGCCTGGAATTTGTGCTGGAGCTGCTCATGGGTGATGGAACAGAGGATGTTTAAGTTCTCTCTTGTGTAGATGTGTGCTGAACCAAGGAGTAAAATAGAGGGAATAACTGGAGGCTGGCCTAGAGCAAAGGGGGCTTCTTGAGATAGTGGTGATAGATGTCATTGACTTCTTTCATGATTATCTGTGCTGAAGGGTTTTGCATTACCTATGGCTTTGCTGCTCTTCCTTTCCTCTTGAATTACAAATGATTTAGCAGGCACTCTACACAAATATCCTGCAGCCACGTCCCACTGGAGAGCAAATCCTGACTAATTAGAGTCATGTGTTTTTTAAGTAATATAATAACACAGAGGACTGAGTCTGAGTTTTGATCTTAAATGGGAGCTGCAGCTTTGAGAAGCCACTGCCCTCATTGTGAGGAGGCAATTACAGCTTCACTTTGACTCAGGAACTCCATCTGCCAAGTGTGCAAGAGATGGGGCTTCACCAGGATGAGGGATGTTAAAGTGTAGAGCTGCCACAGTGAAGGTATTAGAACTGAGCACTGAGGGAGAGTTGAAGCTTACATGTTTTGACTAAACACATTTAACTCACCAGTCATTTAAAATATCAGACTTTATCTGTCTTGTTTCCTAGTATTAAAAAGAAATCCACTGTTCAGAGTAGAAAAGGACTCGAGCATTGTCAAGAAATGCAGCTGTTGGTTTCCCTTTGTCATTTGTAGGTGTAATGGATCTTCACTGGAGTTTTCAAGTCAGTAAAACAAAATGTCATGTAGTTCACACTGTCTCTATTACCTTGCACATTCTTCTTCTCTCCTTGGCCATAGGCATTCAAACTGGCAAGCACTATTTGTGATAGTAACAATGCTGCTGGAGGGGGGAAATAATGGTGCATTGTAAAACAAAGTTGTCTGAAGTGGAAGAAAGATTGAAACGAAATGGAAGGAATGGGATATGAATTTCTTATGCCAGTGTTTTCATGCAGCAAACTCATCTTTGTTGTATGTTACAATAGTGGCTAAAGCTCATTTGGGTGCAATTTGGGTGCAATTTGGATGGTGTTTCCTCACAGAGCCCAATATCAGCTAAAAACCAGTTTGTAATGAGAATTCAACTGGGTGAGGTGACGGCCATGAGGTGCTTTTCAGAGAACGAGCTTTTGTATTCCACTGGATTATACTGATGCCACCAGAGTGGGAGGTTTTACCTAGGAGTCAATGATTATTTCAGCTGGAAGGGATAAAAAGAGCCTTTTCGTCTATATTCCTGGGATGACACACTTCAAATTCTAGAAATATAGTCAATCCTTTGAGGTGGGGGTAACAATTAGAAATTTTTTTGACTGAGTAAACATTTTTTTGCTTTGATTTTATTCAACCGCTTTCCTCTTCCCTTCCTGAAAACGAGCACAAATGCTGGTGGAAACCAATTTAATACCTGAGAGTTTGTGGAAATAAAATTTTGATCTTCCTCCTAGTGCATCAGTATCACAACTACAGTTTCGATGTGCCATCAAGACTTGTTTCAGAGGAGTCCAGAGTATGTGCAAGTACTGAGAGGAGAGCTGGAGACTCTCTAAATTTAACAACTAAAAGGATTTTATATATAATTTTTCCTACATATAATGCCTTTTCTTGCCACAGGCCTGTTTTGCAGTCATGAATGGCACCTTGCATGACTTTCCTCACAGATTTTGTTTAACTGCATGACCACCTACTTACAGTCAGCTAAATGTGGGAATTGTTGCTGTCTCTGCTTATTATTTGCAAATAATAACATTCACCATAAAGCTGTTGCTCCCGTGAGATGAAAAAGCCCTTTTTGACATAGCAGTAGGTTGGGTTGTGGAACAGGAGCAGCCAGAAGGGGCAGAGTAATGGAGAAGGTCAGAGTTTGACAAAGGGTTAATGAGGTTTTTGGCGTTTGTGCTGTGGAAAGCGATGCTGGAAGGAATTCATGTGATCTTTGCAGCCTGTGTGGCTCAGGTGTTTCATCTTCTCAAGTGAAAAGAGAAGAGATTTACATTAGATATCAGGAAAAAATTCTTCCCTGAGAGGTTGGTGAGACCCTGGCACAGGTTTCCTGGAGAAGCTGTGGCTGCCCCATCCCTGGAAGTGTCCAAGGCCAGGTTGGACGAGGCTTGGAGTAACCTGATCTAGTGGAAGGTGTCCCTGCCCATGGCAGGGGGCTTGCAATGACCTTTAAGGTCCTTCCAACCCAAACTGTTATATGATTCTCATGAGGCTGTTGCTTTTCATAGCAAACTGATTGTGTAGTGGGATGGGGAGGCAAAGGAATGAATGCCCTTCCTGTGGAATGTGTCCCACAGTGATTATGAAGGGAGGTTCCAAGACAGTCTCAACCAGGGATGAGCTGTCAAGGATGGCCACCTTCTTCTGGGAGAGAGGGGAACATGTCCACACATCATCTGAAATCTCTGCATCCTTCTCCTGCTCTTCCTAGCATGGGATTTGCTGGGTTTGGAACCCAAGCAGATGAAAAGAAGGGAGAGGAAAGATTGTTTATTTTAAAAAATCCTCTACCCTGCAGCCCTGATTTCCATTAGTGGGCCTGTTGCATGAGAAGTTATGCATTCATTGTGTGGGTTAAATGTGTCATTTCCCTTTTCTCCTTCAGTAAGAGAGAAAATGAATGTATCTTCTGTGATAGCAGTTAAAGTAGATGCAGGGAGAAAACATTGTGAATAGCTGCTACCAGACGAGGCAGAAACACAGCTTGATGCAAGTGGAAATGGGATGTGTAGCAACAGTTTATAGATCTGGATTTTTTTATGGCGATGAATGTTCCTTCACTTACAAGGAAAAAGAGCAAAGAACTGAAAACCAAATGACATCTTTCCCAGTCTTTCTTTAAACGACTGTGAGAGTTGACTGAGGTTTCTGATGCAAAATCCTTCATAGATATGCAACCAGAACTCACTGTTAAACTCCTAAGTATCATTATTAGCACCTCTTCACAGTAATGGAAGAACAGAACTAGATGAAATGGGGATCCTATTCCAAACGGTGAAGAAGTTACAGCAGGAAAATGGAAGTGTTCCTGATAGGAAAGATTCACTGTGTTTGGGTTCTTCTGTACTCACCGACTTATTGACTACTATTTTGGTAGGAAATTGGTTAAAAAAACCAAAAAGGGTGAAAACCCAGCAAACTCTAGCCCTTTTATTTCATTTTACTTAAAGCAGTTTGAGATATTTTCTTACAAGAAAGGAAGCAGAGTGTTAAAATGCTAAATTACCATGAAATGAGCCTTCTTCCTTTGTTATACTATTTTTCCCCTTCAAATCTTTATTAACATTTTCCTTTCTCATGAATATTTTCTGGTTTTGGACTTTACGTGTAAGACCTCAAGTTTTAATGTTGGGTTTTTTGAAGTTGAATAGCAGTGTACTGCAAGTTTGTTATGTTATCTCCTATAGGTTTCCCACTCTCTTTAATATTTGCCTCTTTTTGTATATTTTTGACAGTTCATTTGTTTTTCTAGAGGTTTGGTAATGATCTTATACATTTTTCACCACCTTTCAATAATTTCTTCTTTATATACCGTAAGTGTGTTGGTTGATGAGCTGTGGCTTGTTCTGAAGTCATTGAGTGAGTTAGTGTTTGCCATCAAGAAAAAGTGATATTTTGGAGAATATTTGCCATAAGCACCATGCTTTGTGAAGGTCTAAATTTAGCTCCAGGCTTTGGAGTGATGAAGTAACTTGATTATTCAATCCGTTTAGTTAATAATTCAGTTCTCTCACTTGTTCACTCAAAGATATCCATTCCCAACAATAATTGTAAATACTGAGGTTTTCAAGTCATTCTGACAAATGGAGGTTCTGGTAATGTATGATTTGCATATAAATTTTAAATTTCATTGGGCTCTATGAATGTGCAAGCTTAATTTGAAGAAAAACTAAAAACTTTAATATTGTGTATTTTCTGTTCCAGGACATTATGGTCAGGCGGATGTTGATCATGTTTCATATTGAAAGGTTGCAACCATTAAAAGCTTCTGTTTGGCATGAAAACCCTGTATTTTTTTTGAAGAGTTAGGTGTCTCACTGGAAGACAATTAATTTGCTTAATTCAATCCTGCTAAGTGATGGTAAATGATTAACTTTCCCATTTTAAATAAGCTGTTAATGATGTTTAATTTCAATTTCCAGTGCCATTTACAGTCCTAGTGCCAACAAGGATACACTGTCTGCCTTGGATTATCAGGGTCCCAAACGGAAGCTTTACAGTGCTGTTCCTGGAAGACTTTTTATTGTAGTAAAGCCATATCAACCTCAAGGGGAAGGGGAAATTCACCTGCACAAAGGAGACAGAGTCAAAGGTGAGTACCTAGTTAATTTTGAATATGCATTTTTCTTCTACTAGATGGAAATTTTATAACAAAATTCTATTTTGGGGGAAAATAACCTATTCAGTAGAAATGCTTTTATGCATTTGTTTCTTTACAGGGTATTTTACTCCTAGCTATGTTTTAGAACCAATGCATATTTAGCCACCATTTTAACTTTAAAGTCCTCCTAAAAATCAGAAGTTTGTACAGTAATAGCAGCATTGTCTCTTACCCAGAGCATGTAATATACTTCTGTAGTCATTACAGAACGACCACTCCAGGGCTTTGAAAGGCTGTAAACATGTTAGCTTTCTAAACACATCAGGAAGGAAACAGGGATAAGAGCAGCTCTGTTTTAAGCCCTTTCCTCATGGAACAATTTATTGGCTAAGTAGAAAATGTCCTCTCGTGAGACTCAGTATAAGTAGGTAGGTAGAATCTAGTGTAAACGTTTTGTGGAGGAAGCGTGGTGGTGCATGTTTAATTTCTGTCCACTGGGGCTCTTCCCCAGCTAAGACTGTACTTACATCAAGGCCAAACTTTGCGTTATTATTTTGAAGGCAGTAAGTACATCCACATACAGATGAGAAAGTGGGTGATGTGGTGTACAGGACTCACCTTCCTGAGGGTGAGGTGTGATGCAACTTCAGCTCTGATTTTGCACGTCCAGGTAAAACTAGTCATGGAATAAAAAAGACTTTTTCAAGCCATGCAAATCAAACAACAGTTACGGAAATCAAACAAAAGGGAATAAATTCAGTGTCCTAAATAAAAGTGTTAAGCTCCTGCAAATTTTTGTGCAATGGAAACTACTTATCTCACAAAGGAAAACTTCAAATACCTTCTCCCTTGAGCCTGCAAAGAGTAGTTGGAAAAAAACTAGGGAGCCATTAGAAGGTATTTTTGCATTTTTATTTTTGGATGTACTGATTCTGAAGTGTTTGTGGGTTTAATAATTTTTGTTAACTCAGAAGGTGTAGGACAGAACTCTGAAGAACACTGCACTTGAAGGTAATACATGTGCAAGATTCATTTTATTTGCAAGAATGAAGGAGGAAGGTTAAACTTAGAGTCTGTAGGGCTGAAAAGATAATTTTGCTGTTCTCAAGATTGTTCCCTGATCAAGTAGGAAGTAGTGATTATAATTTCCCAATTAATGGAAGTTATCTAGGCTAGAGTCAAGTAGAAGGCAAACTCTGAGGTTGTGGAATTGTTTGGGAATGCCAAATATCAAATTTGACAGCTTTGAATGTTTGGGAACCAGCTTTGCAGGCATACAGTGTGTGAGAATAAATGCAAGACAAGTAATGCAGAATAACTTCCTAAAAGCCTTCAGGTGTCAAAGGAATGGATATGATCTAGAGAGAGGTAAAGTTACATTATGAGTAAGTTTCATGCAATAATATAAAGCAAATTAAAAGCAAATGTGATGTTTTCACACCTCTACAAAAGAACACTGGCTCTTGGGTTAAAATGGGAAGGTCTGGGGTCTTCTGTGTAGAGTTTGGAGTTCTCACTGGAAGGGTGAAGAAGCAAGGCAGTTGAGAAAGATGCTTGTTGGGCAGTTACATGAAAATGAAAAAAATTATTTAAAAAAAAAGAGAGACTTAAGCACACCCCAGAGCTTTGCCAGTACCTATAAAGGATGAAATTTTGGGGGCCATGAGTGGTAGTAAATAACTTTCTGAGTGTGTCTATAGGGATCTAGGAAGAGTCAAAAGACAAAGAATGAGTGCTGTTGAGCACCATCATCTATTCTTTGGGGGATCTTGTACACAGAGGTGTTCTTATTGGATTTATGTAGGAATATTTTTGTTCTGTAGAGGATGTAAGATCAACATAGATTCTTCTCACTGGAATAAGACAATAGACACTCCAGGCAGTTCTGGAGAAAGACAAGATAGAAACTGTGTGTCCTGGCAAAAGAGGAAATATTGTAACAACTTGCTTAGGATGTTGAATTTTTTAGTCATTCATCATCTGACTGCTGGTTTGCATTGGGATTTGAGACTATTATATGCAAAAATATCCCAAGAATAAGGAGTTTAAATTCAATTTCAAGGAAGAGTTTAATATTTTAAAAAAGTTAATTCAGAATCCCTTGGTTCTAAGTTGTTATAATTAGTCCACCTTTCAAATTTTCTTACTGTGGTTTGTTCTAAGTGTGAGACCAATGATTTTTGTGGGGGCAGCAACCAATGGATGTCAAAATGCTGAAATAGAAAATGAGATTATGGCTGTTTTTTATTATTATTATTATTATTTCTGGGAAAATTGTAAGCTTATGGAAGAAAACCTATAAATTAATTATTACTGTTAACAAAAGGGGGACATGCTCATCCAACATCAAATCATCCCTGCAGCAGTTATTTTTTCAGCTTTAAGAATATGGTTTGCACTTAGAATTAAAATCTGGTAGAGGTCTAGCTTTTCAAGGTATGTTTGTTTTAAATCATTTTAGAGAACTTTGCTGAAGCAAAGCCTAGTGAGGTTTCTATAGATGTCAGCCTCCTTTTAGGGAGTTTGGAAAAAGAACAAGTCTATATAGAGAATTTCAGAGCTAGTGCTTAGGATTAAATCTTGTGAAACATAATTTAAGGCTGTTTGCATGGCAGGGCTGGGACACTGTATGACACTCTCAGTGCTATCAAAGGAGAAACTTCCAGAACAAGATTTAATCCTATTTTATGTTACCATGTCAATGATTCCTCAGTTGCCACAAAAAAATATGTCAGAATGGACACAGCAAGGTAATGTAGAGAACAAAGAGTTCAGGCAAAAAGACAGTGATACTTTAAAAAGGTCTCAGTTGTGTAACAGTGTTGAAGAAGCCACTCAAACCTAGCATTTGTGTCAAAAATCCAGGTCCAGTTAAACCTGGATTCCTGTCCCTGTTTCAATAAAAATGTAATTATTTATAGAGAATAAGTGTAGTGATAGGACAAGGGGGAATGGGTTTAAGCTGAAAGATGGTAGATTTGGACTAGATTTTAGGAAGAAATTCACTCCTGTGGAGGTGGTGAGGCCCTGGCACAGGTTACCCAGAGAATCAACTTGCTGTGTGCAGTGCTTGGAAGGAATGAAAGAACAATAAACCCCATGGAATTCAATTTTTCGTCCCTTTGGAAACACTTTCTCCTCACATTTGAAAAACAAAAGCTTTGTCTTAGCCCCTCTCCTCTTCCAAATTGGTAACTGCACTGTTCTTATAATACACTGATGCCAAAGTCCTGCCTTCTTGGATTGTTTTGGGGAATTCAAGTGTGTTTTGGTACTTGCTGTGGGGTTCTGACCCATGTTTAGTCTGACCCCCGGGGAGATGTTCATCACGTGTTCATCCCATGAGACTAATCACAGTAAAGATGTAGCAAGGCATTTATTATAGGGATAAAAACCAGAACAACATATTAGAGAAAGGGATTAGCTGGGAAATGTTTTTATGGATTTTCTTTTTTGACTTGGCAGAATTAGAAGGGTCACAGAGAGAGGGATGGATTCCTAGACTCTTGATGAAAAGTGTTTTCATCAGATGGAGAGGAAGCAGGTTTTTTTCTTCCTTTCTAAAACTGGTAGAAGTGCATGAGTGACAATAGTTCACAGTATGTGATACAAGGAAGCTGCTCAGAGAAATCTGTGAATGGGCAAGGTTCAAAGAAAATGTAAACTAAACATTGGTTTTAAACTAAAACTGTCTTGTATTAATAGGATATTACGTAGCCTGTACCAAAATACCTGCTTTATTTTTAGTTGTTAGTCATACACACTGACATCATTTGTGTGTCTCCACTCTTGAGAAAAGAGCCATAGCTGTTGTAAAAATAAATCTGATATCTTTGTTTGTACCAGAACTCTCCTAATCTTATGTTTTCACATAAATGAAGTTTTATTCCTCACAGAAACATTTTTAATTTATTTTGTTTCTTTCTTCATTCTATGTGTAAAAGTCCATAGCAACAAATCTGTCCCAGTCCAAATGCACACACATGTATAACAAGTATCTGTAAAATGAATTTAAATCAGCTTTCACATTCCTAAATTGAACTTTTACAGTGGAAATCAAGTGGTCTCTTTTATGACAAAACTCAGAGGCATGAAGAGAATGCAATGCTCTAAAGTTCTTTGTGAGAATAGAATTAACAGTTTTCTTTGCCATGGAGATAAAGCAATAGAGAAGTATCTGTGCATCCTTGAGAAGGTCACCTGTGTTTCTAATCTGCCCATCTTGTTGGGAAGGTAACAGGTCTGAGTTCCAGGTGCCAGTCAACATGATTCAGACAGTCTCTGGTCACCTGCAAACAAAACAATCAAAATGTTTTATATTAAAACATACCTGAAATGCATATGAATTATCCTTCACTGACCTAGAAAGAAAGAACCTGCATGGTTGCCTGATTCAAATGCTTTGAGAGCTTCTGAAGTCTCACCCTGCTCACAGTTTGTTTTTTTTATAGAATCCCAGAATGGTTTGGATTGGAGGGGACCTTAAAGACCACTTAGTTTCTCCCCCCCCCCCCTTGGGCAGGGACACCTTCCACTAGCCCAGGTTGCTCCAAGCCCTGTCCAACCTGGCCTGGAACACTTCCAGAGATGGGGCAGCCACAGCCCCTCTGGGCAAACAGTTCCAGTAGCTCACCACCCTCACAGGGAAGAATTTCGTCTTAATATGCAATCTAAATCCACCCTCTGTCAGTTTGAAGCCATTGCCCCTTGTCCTGTCACTATCTCCCTGTGGAAAAAGGTCCTCTTCCAACCCAAACCATTCTATAATTCTCTTATATGACTTTCCCTCTCTTATATAAGCTCTCTTTAGGTACTGACAGGCTGCAATGAGATTTCCCCAGCCCCTTCTTTTTTCCAGGCTGAACAACCCCAACTCTCTCAGCCTGTCTCCACAGCAGAGGTGCTCCAGCCCTCTGAGCACCTTCACGGCCTCCCCTGCACCTGCTCTAACAGGTCCATGTCTTTCTTGTACTGAGGACTCCAGACCTGGA